ACATGGGCTCCCTGCATGGAGCCTGCTTCTCCCTCTGCCTGTGTCTCTGCCTCTCTCTCTCTCTCTCTCTCTCTCTCTCTCTCTCTCATAAATAAATAAAATCTTAAAAAAAAAGATGGCAAATAAGCATATGACATGATGCTCAACATCATGTCATTAGGGAATTGCAAATCGAAACAACAATGAGATATCACTACATTCCTTTGGTCAAAATCAAAAACACTGGTATTGTTAAATACTGCTGAGAATATGTAGCAACATGAACTCTCATGCATGGCTGAGGGGATTGCAAAATGGCACAGCCACTTTGGAAGACAGTTTGGCAGTTTCCTATAAAACTAAAGATATTCTTACCATATGATCCAGCAATCACACTACTAGGTATTTACACAAAGGAGTTGAAAACTTAAGTCCACACAAAAACCTGCACACAGATATTTATGCCAACTTGAGCCATAACTGCCAAAACTTGAAAGCAACCAAGACGTCCTCTAGTTCATGAATAGATAAATTTTGGTCCATCCAGACAATGTAGTATTATTCAGCACTAAAAAGAAATAAGCCATTAAGCTAGGAAAAGACATGGAGGAATCTCAAGTGTGTATTATTAATGAAAGAGGCCAACTGAAAAGATTACATACTGTGTTTTTCTAACTATACGACATTCTTTAAAAGTGCAAAAATATAAAGACAGTAAAAAGATCAGTGGTTGCCTGGGGTTGGGGGTTGGGGGTAAGAGGAAGGGATGACTGTGCGGAGCAGAGAGCATTTTTAGGGGCAGTGAAACTATTCTGTATGATATTTTAATGGTAAATACATGTCATTATACATTTGTCCAAACTCATACAATGCTCAACACCAAGAGTGAACCCTAATGTAAACTATGGACTCTGGGTAATTATGATATGTCAATGCAGGTTTACCAATTGTAAAAAATGTACCACTCTGGAGGGAAGTTTTCTTAATGGGAGAAACTGTGTATGTGTGTGATCAGCAGGCATTATGGGAACACTATGCACCTCTCCTTCAATTTTGCTCTGAACCTAAAACTGCTCTAAAAAATTAAGTCTTAATAAATATATATATTTTAAAAAGACATAAGAACGTACAACACCAAGAGCAAGTCCTAATGCAAACTATAGACTTTGAGCAATAATGATATGTCAATGTCAACAAATGTACCAGTCTGGTGAGGGATGTTGATAATGATGGAGGCTGTACATGTGTGCTGGTAGGGTATGTATGGGAATTTTTGTACTTTCCCCATTACTTTGCTACAAATATAAAACTGCTCTGAAAAAAATAAAATTATATATAATATTTCAACAGAAAGAAATTCTTTTTTTAATTTATTTTTTATTGGTGTTCAATTTGTCAACATACAGAATAACACCCAGTGCTCATCCTGTCAAGTGCCCACCTCAGTGCCCACCACCCAGTCACCCCCACCCCCTGCCCACCTTCCCTTCCACCACCCCTAGTTCATTTCCCAGAGTTAGGAGTCAACAGAAAGAAATTCTTAACCTAACTTTCATGACAAAGTAACAGGTATATTTTTACTGCAAGGAGGAGACAAAATTAAGTATTTTTGTAAAACATTTACTCCAGGTAAGATTTTCACTCTGCCTGAAACATTATGGTAATCTTAATCATATGCTTATTAAGATAAAAAATCTGGCTGTTACCATAGAAATTACCAGGGATGGTTAGTGCCTCCATGATTTGAGCAGTTATACCTGTTGGGCCATTTAATTCTGAACTTACAGGTTCATGTTTAACAGGGAAAGGCTAAAAATGTCTACATTTGTTTTAAAGAATGGCTAATACACTCATAGGGAAATGCAAATTGAGGTAAATGGAGCATGCACATACACATCAAGATACAACACACCACACCACACCATACCACACATCACCAAAATGGTTGGTAAAACAGGTGGCTGCTGAGTACTACCTTTGCTTGAATCTCTTCTGATTACATTTCCCTGTCCAGGATGCCTCTGATGTTCATTTTTACCTGCATGAAGAATACTGGACTATTGCAATTATATTAGGTTAATCGGGAAGGATGTATTTTATTTTGCTGGACTGAATAAGAGAGCTTAAAGCTTTGAGAGATTAACTGCAAGCAATCTTCTAGGCATGTCCCCCTTTGCCAACATCTGAAGCAGTCTTCTGCAAGCAGGTTTCAACTGGACATCAAGAGTATAACATCATTCATGCAAATGCACTGTGCCTTGGGTTCTTTCTAAATCATATATACTTCAAGGGAGCGTGTATTTTTTCTAACATCAGGAAAGTCTCCTCCCCAATTCCTTAGGAGTGGTGAACCAACACATTCACATTTAGCATGCCTGCTTTCTCTTATCACAGTACATGTATTACTGACTACAAAATAGGTCTTGGCAGGTGCCCAGCTGTCATTTACTTGCTGTGTGGCCTCAGTCACTCATTCCTTTTTCAGTTGAAAAGTTGCAAGAGCATTTAATAAATTTATATGGGAATATTCTGAGGGCCTCAAGTAATGGCCATGGTTTGTGTTTTAATACACTCACTTTTTTTAAGATTTTATTTATTTATTCATGAGAGACGACAGACAGAAACACAGGCAGAGGGAGAAGCAGGCTCCCCAAAAGCAGCCGGATGCAGGACTCGATTCCAGATCCTGGGATCACGCTCTGAGCCAAAGGCAGACGCTCTACTGCTGAGCCACCCAGGCGTCCCAAGACACTGACTTTTTGTGTCTACCTAGTTCAGCTCAACCACAAACAGCAATTGCAGAACTTTCTACATAGAAAAGACTTCTTTAAAAAAAAAAAAAAAGGACTACTTAAGGGCTAAACAGCCATGCTAAGTTCTGCAAATACTAATTACATTTTCAGAAATCCTTTCTAAAAGGTGAAAGAGGGGATCCCTGGGTGGCTCAGCGGTTTAGTGCCTGCCTTTGGCTCAGGGCGAGATCCTGGAGTTCCAGGACCGAGTCCCACATCGGGCTCCCTGTATGGAGCCTGCTTCTCCCTCTGCCTGTGTCTCTGCCTCTCTTTCTGTGTGTCTCTCATGAATAAATAAATTAAATCTTTTAAAAAAATAAGATAAAAGGTGAAAGATTACAGAGTGGCTAAAGTTATGCTCACAGACATATAGGCATATGCATGCTCCAGCAGCATAAAGCAGTCTTAAATGGTAAGAAAAAAGACCTACAAACACAGTGACATTGCAACTGAGCCATAAAATCCTCACTAATCCTCTGAAACTAGATTTTAAAATACCACTTCCAACTCCAAATATTCAATTGATGTTAACTTTTATACTACTGCTTTCAAGAAAAGCTTCATTTCCATGCACCCCTATGTTTATATTTTATAGCAACATTCTTACAACAGCCATGATATGGAAGCAGCCGAAGTGTCCATGTCCATCAACTGATGAATGATAAAGATGTGTGTGTATATGTTTATATATGTATATGTTTATATATACACACACACAATGAAATATTTTTTTCACACAATGAAATATTATTCAGGCATCAAAAAGAATGAAATCTTGCCATATGCAATGACATGGATGGAACTAGAGTATAACAGCAAAATAAGTCAGAGAAAGACAAGTACTATATGATCTCACTCATATGTGGAATTTAAGAAACAAATGAGTAAGAGACAAATCAAGAAAGAGACTATTAACTATAGAGAACAATCTGATGGTTACCAGAGGGGAGGAGTTGGGGGGATGGGTGAAACAGGCGATGGGGATTAAAGAGTGCGCTTGTCCTGATGAGCACAGGATGATGTATGAAGTACTGAATTACTATATTGTACACCTAGAACTAATATGACACTGTATGTTAACTGGAATCAAAATTAAAACTTTAAAAATAATTGAAAAAAGCTTCATTTCATGTTTTGGGCCTGATTTTAAGAATCTTATCAACATGGGACGCCTGGGTAGGTCAGCAGTTGAGCACCTGCCTTCAGCCCAGGGCATGATCCTGGGGTCTCAGGGTCGAGTCCCGCATCGGGCTCACTGCATGGAGCCTGCTTCTCCCTCTGCCTGTGTCTCTGCCGCTGTCTCTGCGTCTCTCATGAGTAAATAAAATCTTAAAAAAAAAAAAGAATCTTATCAACATGAAAGCCTGGTGACATCGAAAGACGATGGTTATCAAATAGTCTTTCTCCAAGCTCCAAGGAAAGCACAAAACAAAAACAGCATGTGCTGTGGATCATCCCCTCCTCCTCTTCCAGGTATGGAGCAGCTAAAAGGAGGTAGCTGTGACACACATTACTTTCCAGTTCTGTTTCAAGTCCATGCAATAAGATGGGAAACTACAGCTGTCTCCTATGCTGGACGTCTGGGGTCTATCTCTGGCCCTAAACAGTAAGCTTGGCTTTGCCTTGACAGACATCCTCTTACAGCCCTTTGTCCCTGCTCTGCAACGTATTAAGGCTTTCCAGTTTAATATCAATATTCAGAAGTACATTAGTGAGCAAATACATATAGTAGATACATATATATTAATACGTACATGGGGCGGACAACACTGAGTTCTGGGCCCCGCTGTATACACATACACACTTACCTAAACACACACTTGAAGTTCAAGTTCCAGCAAGGCACCCTGAGCACCTACCCCCTTCCACCCACCCAAGGGAGGGAAAGGCAGGAGCAGCGAGCAGAGGTTAAACCAGACACCAGCCAAAACAAACAGCACTTCCAGAACAAGGCAAACTTTGGGTCTGGGCGGCTGCAGAGCCCCAGCAATGGCTGGGGGAGGGGAGGGAGCGTCAGTCTGTCTCAGGGGAGGAAGACGGGGAGCGCACCCTCCAGAGCTGCGGAGGAGGCTGGTGCTCCCTGGGGGACAAGGGCGTCGCCGCCATCCCCGACTTCGACCTGGCCGAGGCCTCCAGGTCCTCGGGCAGCCCTATCGGCTCACCTCGCCCCCTGATCTCCACAGAAATGGTCCCCACAGACAGGCGCCGGCTGAGGGCGCGGGGACATACCTGGTGCAACGTCTCGGCGGGCAGCTGCGACGCCCGGAACAGGTCGGCCACGGGGCCCGCGGCTGCGGTGACGGTGCCGGGGACGGTCCTGGCGGCCTCAGGGGGCCCGGACCCGGGGCCCCCGCCTGCGGCGCCGGCGCAGCGCGCGAACAGCTCGGAGTAGCACTGCTGCTCGCCCTCGCTCAGCAGCAGCGGCGGCCCGGAGCCGCAGCCCCCGCCCGCCGCTGCCTCCATGGGGCCGGGAAGGGGGTCCAGCGAAGCACCGCCAACGGGTAGGGAACAGCTGCCTCCGCCTCAGCCTCCGACGCCTGGGTCTCGGCCTCGGCCGCCGCCGCCACCGCCCCCACGCCCCGCAGCTGCCGCGCCGCCGCTTCCTCCCGGCGCGCGCCGGCCCCGCCCCCAGACTTGAATGTTGTGCCTCCGCCGCGCGGCACATGGAGACAGGCGCGGGGCGAACCAATCGCAGCCTGGGATCGCGCCCCGGCCCCGCCCCCGCCGTCCGCCCCGCCCCGCCTAGCCCCGCCCCGCGCCGGGCCAGGTAACTAACTCCGCGGGCCGCCCGCCCCCCCCACCCCGCGCTGCCCGGACCCGGAGGCCCGGGGCCGGCGCCTGGCGCACCCTCGGAGCCCCGCAGGGGCGCCTCCGGCTCTCCGCCCTGGCTGGGAAGGGAGACAACTAGACCCACCTGGAGCATGGCGCTTTTCAGGGGGCGGAGAAAGCTGTGGTGGTTTTTCCCTAGAACTGGAGCAGGTGCGGCGCCCTTCACAGAAGAGGGGGGAGACAGGAGAAATTAAGCTTCCCTTTTTGCATAGTGCGCTTCTGTCCTGAAAAGCTGGAGGACAGAGATCTCCAGAAGAACTGCTCGCAGTGACTCCGCTTAGCATTCATGGTGGAGATGAGGTTAGGCTACTTTCTCAGGTATGGCTCATACCTGGAGTTGTGCCTTAAAAAGGAATACCGTCAGTTAGTGTTAAATACTAGAGTGATAAGAGTGAAAAGGGGCCCTAGGAAGAAGAATTGTGTGTGTATATATATATATATATATAGCACTAATAAAAAATACATTTTCGAATTTAATAAGCAAACATATATAAACCTTTCACCCCGAAATAATTTTACTTTAACTAAAAACAAACACTATCTCAAGAAATAGCACTGATGATAACAAATATACTTTGGTATGTTGGTCAAACTAAAATAAGGAGGACGGACAAGACTGAGAAAAAAAATCAACAAATGGTGAAGGGGGAAGAAATACATAAGAAATACATAAGAAAAATGATAAGAGTGCCTGGCAGGTTGATTAGGTGGAGCATATGACTCTTGATCTTAAGATCATGAGTTCAAGCCCCACTTTGGAAATAAAGTTTACTTAAGTAAAACAGGGGGTTTTTTTAACAAAAAAAAAAAAGAAGAAAAATTATGTCAATCCATAAATGGTGACCAGAGTAAGATTTTCCTTTTGGAATCTAAGGACATGAAATAGAGAAGAGGATCCACTCTAAAAGCAGGAAGTTCTCATCTCTTCACTAAGATTTCCTTATACCACATTTTGCTTTACAGCTACCAGGAGAGAATTAAGCTTGTGGACAAGAGTACAGAGAGGATAGGTAAGTAAGGAACAGCAAAGACTATCTTAGCTGGGGAATTACCATTTTAAAATCTCACCACCTGCTGTATTTTCCAAACTGTGATAATTTCTAAGGAAAACTGGAAGCCAAGAGATCATGTTTACGCTCTTCCTACCTTTTTAGTTACACCCTTGGGATTCCCTGAGAATCACCCACTATTCTTTTTCTTTTATCACCCACTATTCTAACAGAGGTTAGAAAGGGACTCACCCTTTGTGATAAAAGCCAAAACCTACTTTCCCCTGTGACACCTGGAAAAAGAAATGTGAGGTATAATAATCCCGAATATTCATACAGTTCAAAGCTACATTATCTCATTTAAGACTCGCAGTAACTCTCTGAGGTAGATTGGGAAAACATTTTCTTCATTTTGCAGATGAGAAAATGGATGCAGAGATGGTGTGATTTACCCAACTGAATACTAGATTCGAAGCTGCTCTTCATTATTCAACTCAGTTTAATAAATTTGACAGATACTCATCAGCACTGCAGATCCTGCTGAAATGCACAGAAAGCCTTACATCTGTGCCTATCCATCAAGCAGCACTTATTGGTAGAACAGGAAGTATTAACTGTGTCCCTACGGGGGTACTGTGAGGGATTAAAAAAAAAAATACAAGACGTGTTCCTTCAAGGAGTCTGCAGCTTCACTGGAAAAGACAAAACCAACACAACAAAGAAAAACAAACAATAAAAGACAATGTATAATTAAGTGCTAAATCGTGTACCCCAGGCTAAGCACTGTGGGAGTTTAGAGAAGAGAGAAAATCCAGGAGCCAGAGCCCAGCCAGGAAGGCTTAATGAAGAAGGCACCCAGGTGGATTATTGACAAATCGGTGGGACTGGGGGAGGCAAAAGGAAGGACAAGAGAGGGAGGCTCACAGGAGAGGGAGGAGCCCCAGGGTTGAGGCGCCGAGACAGTAGTGAGTGTGAGACAGCAGACTGGGATGGGAGGGAGGGAGATGGCGGGTTGGGGTGGGGGGAGAGGGACAGCCTCTCTGGGGCTCTAGGATCCCAGAGGAAGGTGCTCAAATGGAAGACAAGAGACATAAGTGACCCAACAAGAGTAACATTTAAACCCAGGATGCAGGAGGGGGAAATGGCATTTTTTAAATGTTTTAATATCTAAGGAATGCCAAGTACTGTTCTTTATTTCAGCAGTTTTTTGAGTAAAAACAATAATGATCACACTTCAGAGTTAACACAGATAAGAATGTAAAAACTAGAAACACTCATATCCCTTAAGGCTGACAGTAAACAAGAATTTTTTTTAAGATTTTATTTATTTATTCATGAGAGACACAGAAAGAGAGGCAGAGACATAAGCAGAGGGAGAAACAGGCTCCCTACAGGGAGCCTGATATGGGAATTGATCCCAGGACCCTGGGATCACAACCTGAGCCAAAGGCAGATGCTCAACCACTGAGCCACCCAGGTGCCCCAAACAAGAACGTTTTAGAAGAGAATTTCTTTTTACTTTTTACAGTTCTAAATTTACACACTTGTTTGGGCTCCATCATAGCAAAAGGCCAGAATAATAATATGGTTGACCTTGAAACAAGGCAGGGATTAGGGGCACTGAACACTGTGCAGTTGAAAATACACGTATAACTTTTGACTCTCTAGGAACTTAACTAATAGCCTCCTGTTGACCAGAAGCGTTACCCGATAGCAAACACAGTTGATTAACATATATTTTGAGTATATATTACATACTATATTCATACAATAAACTAAGCTAGAGAAAAGTGTTTTTAAGAAAATCATAAGAAGGGCACCTGGGTGGCTCAGTATGTTAAGTGTCTGCCATTTGGCTCAGGTCATGATTCCAGAGTCCTGGGATCAAAACTGGCTTCTGGCTCTCTGCTCAGTGGGGAGTCTGCTTCTACCTCTCCTTCTGCAGCTCTCCCTGCTCCTGTGCACTCACTCTCAAATAAATAAATAATCTGTGATCTTTTCTTAAAAAGAAAAGAAAATCATAAGAGAAAATACATTTATAATACTGCACTGTATTAATGGAAAAAAATTCACAGATTAAGTGGACGGGCGCAGTTCAACCTGTGTGTTGTTCAAGGGTCAACTGTATATCAGGAATAGCCAAGAGACAGTCTTGAAGTTTTGCTTTTTCCTTTTAAATCCAGCATCAGTGCCCTGTATGAAGATGGCAACTAAACAAACTCAGAACAAAGTACTGTTTGCATGTAGGGAAGAGTTTCCTAAAGCAAGGGTTGCAAAACTAGGACCAGTTGCCTGGTTTTATTTTTATTTTATTTTAAGAGAGAGAGAGGGAGTGGAGAGAGAGGCAGGGGGAAAGAGAGAGATTCCTGAACAGGCTCCACACTCAGCACAGAGCCCCATGCAGAGCTTGAGCCCACAGCCCTGAGAGAATGACCTGAGCTGAAATCAAGAGTTGAATGCTTAACTGACTGAGCCACCCAGGCACCCCAATTGTCTGGTTTTGTATGGCTCATAAGCTAAGAATGGATTGTACTTTTTTTTTTAAGTAAACTCCACACCACACATGGGGCTTGAATTCATGACCCTGTGATCAAGAGTCTCGAATTAAAAAAAATAAAAATAAAAATAAAAATAAAAAAGTCTCGAATTCTATCAACAGAGCCAGCCACATGTCCCAGGTTGTACTTTCTTTCTTTCTTTCTTTCTTTCTTTCTTTCTTTCTTTCTTTCTTTCTTTTCTTTCTTTCTTTCTTTCTTTCTTTCTTTCTTTCTTTCTTTCTTTCTTTCTTTTTTTAAGTAGGCTCCACTTTTTTTTAAGTAGGCTCCCAACCCAGGGCTTGAACTCACTGACCCTGAGATCAAGACCTGACCTGCGATCAGGAGTCAGACACTTAAGGCGCCTGAATGGCTCAGCCAGTTCAACGACCCACTCTTGATTTCAGCTCAGGTCATGATCTCAGGGTCCTGGGATCAAGCCCCAGGTCAGGCTCTGCACTCAGCGGGAAGTCTACTTGAGATTCCCTCTGCCCCTCCTCACCTCTAAAATAAATAAATAAACCTTTAAAAAAAAAAAACAGAGAGAGAGGCTTAACAGCTGAGCCACTCAGGCGCCCCCTGGGTTATACATTTTTTAATGGTTGAAAAATAGTGCTTTCTGTACACTGAATAGTATTTCAGGACATGTGAAAATTGTATGAGGTTCCCATTTCAGTATTCGTAAGCAAAGTTTTACTGGAACACAGCCAGGCCCCTTCATTCATGTGTTGTCTGTGGCTGTTTTCACACTAAAATGGCAGAGTTGAGTCATTGCTTAACGTCTCTGGACATTTACAGGAAAAATTTACTGATTCCTGTTTTATAGTATGGAGACCTAATCTTTTCTTTTCTTTTCTCTTCTCTTCTTTTCTGAGACCTAATATTTTCTGATACCTACAGCCAATTGATAGGATACCTGGGCAGGAGAACTATACAGAATTCTATCCAGCTTCTCTGATTTTCATGAATGATATTGAGAGTCTTGAGACTGTATCTCAAAGAGAAGTGAACTTTAAGAATTACTTAGTGAGGGACTGACCATTGTAAATGCTAAATAATCACTTGTTTGACTGATTTTTTTTTTTCTGGAAGTGAAGAAAGATCTTTGACAGTGTGAGAGGGAATCTTATTCCCCTGGCC